AACCATTGTGCAATGGAGTATAGCAAACATAGTATGAATGTGTTTATCCTCCCAAAGTGCTCACCTGTATTGCCCTTAGCCTTCGTCTTCCTGTGGCCGTGGACGTGATACGCTGCCTCCATGGTGAGATGACGTAAGTAGCAATGCAGGCCCTGTGACATTGTGGTAGGCTGCCACTAAGTTTGCCCTCCCACATGACGTCAGAAAGAGGAGCATCCACTTCCCGTGATCCTGGTTCATCTAGTCATGGACCGGGTGGGGAGAATATGTGGTGTGCATTCACCTGGCAAAGAGAGGGTTCACATCCAGGGTACAATGGATGTGGATTTTATCCTGCTCCTCAGAATGGCTCCTCGATTTAGAACTTACAATTTCTTTACTTTTGGGGATTTTCTATTTACTATGTTTGGTCCATGGTTGACCACAAGGAAGCGAAATCGGGAAAATGAAATCCATGGGTAAAGAGGAATGACTGTATTACAGGAGTTTAAAATCTTTTCTGAAGCAATTATAGGTTCATGGAAAATTGCAAAAAAAAAATTAGGAGAAGATCCTAAATGGCCTTTTCCCAGCCTCCCCCAAGGACAGTGTCTTGCGTAGCTATGGTGCAGTGTCACAGCCACACACTTGACCTGGGGACAATTCGCAGGCCCTGTACAGATGCGCCTCAGTGATAGAGCACTTGCTTAACATGCGGCCCCTGGATTGCAAAGGCCTGAGATCTGTGGGAAGCTCTTCTCAGCTCGCTGCCGCAACCTCCTGGTTACCCGGCTGCTTAGTGAGCCTCTCCTGTAGATATTTCTTCGTGGGTCCTCTTGGGGTTGCTTCTCTAATAGTGTTGCCTCGGTTCATAAACACTTTTCGCTTGAGAACAATTTGGCTCACAAACAGAATCATCTGGCAACAGTTTGTTTCGCTTTGCCAACTCTGCATCAGGCGACCAACAGCAGCAGTGACCTTTCTCCACCACAACGGCGGGCATCTTTTCCACAGCTGTGCAACCATTGAAGTTTGCGAACCAGACGCCACTGTCCCGGCTGTCTTGCTCTCTGTGTCCTATTTGGTTCCCGTAATGTGATGATAATTTTGGCCTCAGGTGAATTTCCCTACCTAAAATGATATGTCCTGTACTTGCTAAATAATTTGTCACCATTTCATTCACCAGGAAACTTGTAACCCTTTGGTGTCATGGGCTAGCACAAACTCAGGGGTGTTGGGAACAGAAGAAGGGCCTAGGGTCTACAGAGGTGCTCATGCTTGAAAGTTAGATCCTGGCTGCTGGGGAGGGGGAGGAGCAGACTGTCCTCTGATCTTCTCTCCAATCCACACTCACTCATGAAGCCAACTCGGGCCCCCACTCAGCTCTCCAGAGACCCCTCCTCCTGCCGTAGCTCAGTGCAGGTATTGTAAGTAGGCAGCTGGAGAGCCCTAAGGTAAGGCCAGGTGGAAGAGTGAAGCAAGCAGCCAATTAAGTGTAGAAATGCAAAACAATAAATAGCCCAGGAAGCCAAGCCAAACTTAGAGATGGAAAGATAAGCACAGAAAAAAAGGAGAAAAGGTTGGGAAGACGATCCTCCAGGAAGATGCCTCCTATCCAGAGCACACGGTTACACCTTGATCATGACTTCCTACCTCTGGACATGGAGAGAGCTGAGACACCAGATACACAGGTTTCTTTTTCCGATTTTTTAATTCCAGCCCCTTCCCACACTCTGCTTAGGCATATAAGATCAGAACACAGAGCTCTGGCTGGAATCTCACTGGGAATAGAGCCCTAGTAGGACCTTTCTCCTTCTGTTGTTTCCAGTAAAACTCGCATAACTTTCTCCTTTGGTTCAACACTTCACTCCTTGTTGTTCATAGAACCACAAGGTGGGTTCCTATGGCAACCTAGGTAGGTAACCGTATCCTGCCTTCCTCCATCCATCCTCCTCTGTACCCTACCTGGGAGCCTCTACCCAGAGCACCTGGGTCTTGCTCTGTCCCCAGCCTTTTGGACAGTGGCATCCACTCTGTGCCTAGAGACCCCTGGGGCTTTCCTCTTTCAAACTCAAAACCCAGACTTTCTTCTTGTTCCTGGTGGTGGGGATCACATCCAGCCTTTTTGTGTTAAGCTGTATCCCTCTGGCCCCTTTTTATTTTTTATTTTGAGACAGGTTCTTGCTAAATTGCTAAATTCTCCAGACTGGGCTTGAACTTATGATTCTCCTGCTTCAGCCTCCCAGAGAGCTGGGACTCCAGGGCCTTCGACATGTGACTCACCCAGCAGCGTGGGCCAGAGGCACAGCACAGACTCCGCCATCGGAGCCCAGCACTGATGGTCAAGTGCTACCGGCCAAACCACAGCCTCATTGTGCCTCAGTTTCCTCATTTGTAACATGAGGAAGATCCAATACCTCCCTGCCATGACTGAGGGCAATTAAATGTGTCTGTACTTGTTAAGTGATTAGAATTCTGCTTGGCTTGTGGTACTGCAGGAACCTTGGCTACTATTACTGCTGTTATCTTTTTTTCCCCCCAGTGATTCACTTGTGGCAAAGCAGCTTCCTGGGCTTGGATCCAGGGTCTTTGAGCTGAGCCACATCCCCAACCTTTTCATTAACTTTGAGACAGAGTTCTGCTAGGTTGCCCCTGTCAGGCTCCAACTCTTAAACTCCTGCTACCTCAGCCTCTCAGAGTGTAAAAATCACAGGAATGTGCCACCACACCGGGCTCCTGATGGTTTACATCTCTAAGACTGGCTTTCTTTGGAGTCACAGGGCCCTCACTTAGTACAGGTGACTTCTATGGAATTGCTAACTGGCAGGGGGTCAGGGTAGCCCAGTGACCTCTGGACTTTTCAGCTGCTTTTCGAATCTGAATTCATGCACCGACAATATTTAAATGGCAATGGAATACCCATCTCTGACAAAACTACACAAAAAAGAGGGCTATAAATGAAGGACCGTTTTGTACCTGTATATAGTTAAGATGGATATACAGGTACTTCCTCTTAATTCAATGAGAAGAGAGATTTGTACTAATAGTGTTTGGACAGGATATCATGTCTACATTTTGTACTATGAATAACTACTACACAGACAACAATATGCAATGTATTCATTACTGTAACTGTCCTACTAACCTGTTTTGAAACTGTCTCATTGCTATTTGTCTCTCAATAAAATTAATTTTAAAGAAAAAAGGGAAAAGCGGCAGCATTCACATGGCTCTGAGTCCTCCCTTCGGCCACCTTCCGGCTCTGTGTGCGTCCCCCAGCCTGTGGCTTCCCAGAGCCTGCCGGTCCCCAGGTGGGTGCTGGGGGCACTGACAGTCACTGATATGCTTCCCAGTGGTAGAGACTGCACAGTTAGGCGTCTGTGCCACTCCCTGCGACTCCAAGTAAAGCCTGATTGTCTACAGCAGGCTCCAGGGGCCCCACCAGGGAGGAGCGTGTGACCCATTCTGCTAAGGGCGATACCAAGGAAGCTTCCTGGGAGCGGCAGGCAAGGCTTCATCACTGAGGACAGAGGCCTGCGGGGTGAGTAAGGGGGTGAGCAGTCAGCACACCTCACCAGTCACGAAGTCCTCTCGCGTTCTTGTCAAGGAGGCCACACCTGGGGCTGGGAACAGCAGACACCCAGAACTCAGGTCTACTGCAGTGTGCAGAAAGGATGAATGGTGGGTGAACTGCCATGATCATGAGGCTTGGGGGCCGGGGGTTCCACCGGCCAGGACACAAGAGAAGATCTGGGGACACTGATTCTCTGTGGCTCAGGGTCTCAAGGACCTGTGACCATCGGGCTGAGCTATCATCACCCCAAGCTTCCATTCGGGCTGTCTCCGGTGTCCACTGAGATCTCAGCCAGGGACATAGTTCTGGAAAAGTTTTCAGAAAATGGGACTAAAACTGTTTCCTTTAAATGAATGGCCCCACCACACATTTTGCTTTGTAAAAAGATTGTGTGAGCACAATTACTCTGCCAAGCACACCTGACAGCCTTCCGGATCAGTCACCTGGGAAAGCCCCATGTGTAATAGGCCACTTGCCCATGTGTCACGCGAGGCGTTCAACCAGGACCGGCTCGCAAGCGCGCACGTGTGAGTTGCTGCTGACGTCAGCAACGGTCACGTGGCCGGGCTGTTGGGTTCCCTTCTGAGTCCACGATGAGGCCATGCAGGGTGTGCAGGAAGGAGCAGGGACCTGCGAAAGAACCAAACCAAGCCACGGCTGGCAGAGACGACCACAAGCACGGGAGGCCTCAGGGGCAGACGATGAGAGAGGGCAAGGCGGTTCCTGGCCCAAGTAAAAACTTCTAAAAAATTAATTTAACACATTTTTATTGACAACACAAATGTTTCTCACACACACGCACATAAACACAAGTCAGTTTCTCCATGCAGGCACTGGAGACATGGCTCTTTCTATATGCTTCGTGCACACAGTCAGATTCCCACAGTCTAGATCTTTCTTTAAAAAAATCATTTAAGTAGCACCGTACTTAATCTCTTGGTTTTCTCAGTTAATGACACATCTTGTGACATAGAGGAAAGGTAAGAAAGGTAGAGAGGAGACAAGGAAAATTGTGATGAAAAATTTGTGCGTTAATAAAACCTTCAGGGTGTGGTAGTACAGGCCTCCAATCCCAGCACTCTGGAGGCTGAGGCAGGAGGATTGCTGTGAGTTTGAGGTCTGCCTGGGCTGCAAAGGGAGCTCAAGGCCAGCCTGAACTATATAGTGAGACCTTGTCTCAAAAAGATTTTTTTAAAAAAAGGCCACTGAGATAGCTCAACGGATGAAGTACCTGCGTAGGCAAGCGCAGGGAGTGTAGTTTGATCATTAGCACCATAGGCAGAGCCAGCCAGCCCCCCGGGGGCATGCTGAGCTTGTCACCAAGACCCAGAGTGGTGGCGCACACCTATAATCCCAGCAAGGGAGAGGTTGAAAACAGGAGGATCACTATGAGTCCAAACTGTGTGGTGAGACCCTGTACCAAATACATTTAAAAAAAAAAAAAAAGACAAAAAAGAAAAACTGCAGCTTCCACACACACTTACCTAAGATCCCGTGCTTTTATTCCTTCCATGAAACTCATCCCAGAGGGGAAAACAACTCCTAAGCCTGTACATGGAGCAGGTGACTGTCACCTATTAAGCAAACCTGTGTTTTCCCTCCTGCAGATCTGGATAGGAGGAAACAACACAGCTCTAGACTTCAGGTGACCCACACAACTTGTCTTCTGTCCCACCCACTGAACAGACACAAGGATGCACATCCTAGACGTCTTAAGACCCCCGAAGGCCACCTAAGCCCTCACCCCAGATGGCATGAGGCTCTCCTCTGACCATCAGCAATTCTATTCTCTCTGAAGGGTCACATCTTTAATTTTGCCTAATAAACTTTTCCTGTGCTTTTTGTTGGTGCACCTTGAAATTTTTTTTTAAATTTTAAACAGAATAAAAAGTAATAAAAAAAAATTAGAAACAGTACAGTTTCCAAAAACAAGATGATAGTTCAATAGTGGTAGTTATGCTGCAAATTGTTGTCTTCAGTGTAGATGGTCAGATTACCACAGAGAAGCATGCAGAATTGGTGGGAAATTCCCTTTCTGTCATAGGATCCGGAGAACCTACAACCTACCCTGCAGGAGGGGTGAGTTGAGGTCCCCATCTCCAGTCTCAGGGACTTCTGTGACCCTGCTGGGTGACAGCTCTGTGCTCCTTCTTCTGGAGACCGTAGGGCAGTCCAGCAGCGGCCCACACCAGCACGTAGGAGCGACCCCTAGCGACGGGCTCTGAGGTGGGTCATACTTCCTCCCTGTTACAAATGGTGAAAGCCCTTGAATCTATGTTCCCAGGACCCTTGGGAGCGGTTTGTTAAGGACGCGCGCCAGCCCAGTAACCTCCCAGCCTCATTTGCGCTGGCAAGCCTGGACAATCAGTAGCATGGCGGCCCAGGATCTAGTTGATGACCAGTGACAACCTCACATTTTAAGTTCTGGGGGCTGGGGAGATAGCCTAGCAGTCTATACCACACGCTGTGCTGGCCACTGAAACTGGCATGGTGGTGCAGACCTGTAATCCCAGCACTGGGGAGGCTAAGACTGGAGGATCACTGTGAGTCAGAGCTGCATAGTGAGATACTGTAACAAAAAAATAAATAAATGCTATATGTCTATGACTAGGCATGATGGTACACTCCTGTCACCCCAGCATTCAGGGAGACTGAGGCAGGAGGATCCAAGTTTGAGCTCAGCCTGGGTAACTTAGCAGTTTAGTGAGACCCTGCATCAATAAATAAATAAATAAATAAATAAATAAATAAATAAATAAATAGGGCTGGGGTTATAACTCAGTATGAAAGCCTGAGTTCAATTCCAGTACTTCGACATGAACAAATTTTTAACAATGGTTGCCTGCTCAGCTACAGTGGACCAAAACATGTGCCAGAACAGAAGCCTCTCTTCCAGGGCCCACTTCCAGAACTGGACAAACTACTGCCCTAAATGATTCAAGTTCAGTCACCACCTCACCACAGACATGCCACTTTGTCACATGCTGCTCCACCAGGTCCTCGAGTTGATCCTGCAAAATGAGTATTAATTTCATTGTTGCTGTTTTCCAGATGGGAAAACTGAGGCTCAGAGATGACAAGACATCTTCCCAAGATCACACAGCTCACAGATGGCAGAAGATCCAGATCCAAAGGCAGCTCTGGCGCAGTGTGTGCTCTTTCTAAATCCATGATGCAAGCTGAATCACGGAGCCTCTCGCGAGCTTCAGACTGGACAGCCGGCCAGTCAGCTTAGTCTGCAGGACGGATTGAGTTCCTCTGGCTACTATGACAAATGACCACAGAGCTCATAGTGCAGAGCAATATGGATCTATTTATCTTAGCAGTTCTGGAAGGCAGAGGCCTAAGCTGGGTCTTGCTAGGCTAAAAGCAAGGTGCGGGTGGGGACTCGCTCCCTCTCCATGTGCCACCCCTTTCCTGCCTGCCCAGCTCCTGTACCCAGACTCTCTGCCTGCCCTGCAGGTGGGACATTTGGTCACTGCCTGGCACAGCACAGTGGTGCCACTCAAATCCTGGTCCGTTCACTCACCAGCACATCCAGCCTCACCTGGAAAATGGGCAAAATAAAATCTTTCTAGGGCCACTGTGAGGCTCACACAGCACAATGTATGCTACACACCCAACCCTAGAGATCAGAACATGGGAACTATCATCTCCCTACTGCCTACTGCCGTGTGTAACAGAAACGCCACCATTTGAGATTTATTATGGTTTGTGTGTGTTTGTCCCCCCAAAGCCCCATGCAGTCACTGAGGTACACAGTTCCACATTTTGTGGTTAATTCATGATCCAAGGCCGGGATTATGGGTCTGAGTACTGCTGGGATTATGGGTGTGAGTGCTACCCCCAGCCTGGGTCAGATAGCCTGAATATAACAAGAGAAATAAAGAGACAGACTTGCTCCCTGCTGCCATTGTTGCTGCTACTCCTGCATTTTGCTCTTGCTGTTTTGCTGCCTTCCGCTGCCATGAACGGCTGCCCTCCGCCATGTGCCACTCTGCCTTGGAGCCAGTCAAGTTTAGACTGAACCCTCCAGTAACTGTGAGTTAAATAAACCTTCCCTTCCTTCATTTTGAGTGTCAGGTATTTGTCCCAGCAACAAGAGAAGCGTAACTGAGACAAGATTCATTTTTTTGGATCTTCTCCCAATGATAAATCTCAGGCCCTTCTCCTGACATTTAAGTGGGATAAGTTGGCAGGTAACTGAAGTCAGCCTCTTGGACAGGACATGGAGAACCTGGGGTAATTCAGAGATAATAAAAAGGAGCAGCCCAGCAGGGGAGGACAGTAGGAGGCCAGCATGGCTTTTGCTAGCTTCCCAGACTTGCCTGTGGATCAGCCTCGCTGTGAGCTGCTCCTGCCTCTCCCCAGATGATCCAGGGTGAGCCTGCTTAAGGAACACGGGCAGATGCTTTTCTGAGATAGCCAGGACCTGCCCTGTTGGCTCTGTGGCAGTCTGGGGTGGGTCTGGGGTTGAATCCCAGCATGGAAAATTACCAATGCTCTTGGCTTTCAAGTTGGGTGCTGCAGCAGCTGCTGAAATGATCCTCCCAGGCCTGGACCTTTCCCAAGTGGGTCTTGCAGAGTGAAAGGAAAACCAGACTTTCAGTCTTATCTGAGAGCTACGTGACTGCCTCCCTTCCCTACTTGGGAGCCTGGGAAAGCCCCCAAATTCATTGTCTGAACTTTGGGTACACACAGCTATGAAACAGGAGTACATCATGACAGCTGCCAACACAAAGGGTTCTCTTCATTCTGGAAAATAATGCGTAATTATTTGGGGCTTTGATTCACCCAACAAATATTAAGTACTTGCAAGCATGGGGACCGCCTACCCTGGAAGGCAGTAAGCATGTGCCCAGGAGGAATTATTTTACGGCAGGTAGAACGCACGCTCTAGAGTGGACCGGCTTGGGCCCTAGATCCAGATACTTCCTGGCTGTGACACTGAGCAAATCGTGTCACCATCATAAGCCTCAACTTTCCCCTCTGGAAAGTGGGCATAACCAATAAACACCTGTGCGGTTCTCATGAGGATTCCACGAGAAGGCTCAGGGGAAGTAGGTGGTCACACGGATTTAGTTCAGAGTAAGGATGTCAGAAATAGAAGTTACTGCCGTGACAGTCAGGGAGGCTGTCCCCAAATGCCTTTGCACCTCCACATCAGAAAATGAGTTCCCAATTTGCTGTTTGGTGGCCAGCAGCGTCCTCTTGAACTTCTGGTCTTCAAGTTAAAGAAGTGACAATGGAAAAACGGCCCACGTGTTGGGTGGACACCGTGTGTCTCCGTGGATGCGTGCACACGTTGAGAACCCATCAATTGGCAATGAACCTGACTGCAAGTGGTGGAACCTGATCACCACTAGACTAAGTTCTTCTGGAGACAGTGAATCTCCAGCAGGAGGCGCCTTTGTCCTGAGCTATCTTCTGGGACATCCCATCGCTGTCCTTTGGCTTCTTAGGGGTTGAGTTTCAAAGAGTTGGACGCTCACCCAAGAGGGGGCCTCTCCTTGCCTGACCTCTCCTGTAACTCAAAACAACCTCAGGTTGGGAGGGGGCGCTTAGAACTCACGGTTTTTGGCGGTGTGGCTGAGACGAGGCAGCCCTCTAGTTCTGGCGCCAGGCCGTGCGGTTCCAGGACAAACTTCCAGACAGGGACAGAGGCGCAGGTGAGAGGCGTCAGTCTTCGCGGGGACCGGGTTCACGCTCCGGGAGCCAGGGCCCCGGAACTCCGGGCACAGAAGGGCCACTGGGTGACTCGCCGGAAAAGTTCTCCAAAAGCTGGGAAGGCGCCTCCAGCAGGGCGAATCCCCGGCGCCGCAGGAACCCGGAACCTGCTCCACCCAGCCTGGAGCTCGGGCGCGCGGTATGGAGAGCGCCCAGGAGACCTGGAGAGGGGGTGGGGAGCCCTGCCGAGGGCGTGAGCTAGCTCGCTTTGTAACAACTTGTTTCCTCCTTTGCTCCTGCCCATCGCTCACCTCCAAGTCGAGGCGGAGCTGGCGGGCCCCAGCACCCCGAACCCGTCACTAGTGGGGAAAGGGAGGCGATGGGCTACCCAGGAAAGACAAGACGAGCGTTTTTAGGCAAGCAGGGACGCAGCGGGCTGGGCTTCTACACGTGCGCTCGGCCTCAATGGGTAGAGGGAGCTCCAGTTCTACTCAGTGCCGGGACTCCGGGCCTGAGGGCCTCCCTCCCATTCCTATCCCCCAGAAACGTGAAGTCCTGGGCCGGGGAGCGTGCACTGCCAGCCCAGGAGAGATAACGCCGCCCACGCTCCGCAGCCAGGGTCCCGGCCCCGCCAGGGGTGGCGCGAGGGCTCCAGTAGGGTCCTAGGCTGGGGGGCGGCGCCTCTCCCGCTGGAGTCCGCCCCTGGCCGGCGCCGCCCCGTCTCTGTCCCTGCCAGTCGCTCCGTCCCCCTCCCCGCCCCTCCCGCACCCGCGCTCGGGGGCCGAGCTTCCTACGTCCCCATCCCGGTCTCCGCGCCGACAGTGCGCCCTCGCTCAGCTCCCCGAAGCGAGGCTCTCCAGAGCCCGCAGCCCGCGATCGCAGCGTCCCTGAAGAGGCAGCCCGGGGTAGGGGTGTCGCGGAGCCCCTAACCCCGGGCCGCCAGGCTGAAACCTAGCCGGACCCTCTGCCAACCGGTGAGTCCGCATTACTGCGCCGAGCGGAGCGCGTGTGGGTCATGGGGCCGGAGAGGGGACCGGGAACTGCCGGTTGTCCATCCATTGAGAGCGTCCGCCGGGAGGGTGCCACCGCGGCAGAGGTCGGAGGTCCCGCACCCACCTACGCCGCAGCCCTCGGGTCCGGGACCCCTGCCTCCTGCAGAGAAGGCAGATGCCTCGGAGGCCCCCTGTCGGCGGAGATCAGTGCTTGCTGTCTGTCCCGTGCGCTCTCGCCCAGGGCCTGCGGGAGGCACCTGCTGCCGGTGCTGTGGAACAGAACCTGAATCGCAGGAAGCACCGGGGCGCCATCCGCTTGAGCTCTCCTGCCCTGCCCCTTATTCTTTTCTGGCTTTTTTCCGAAATCGATTTGTGTGCGTGTGTGTAGAAGCAGAAATGAGAGAAATCGGGCGTGAGCAGAGGTGAAACTCGAGCCCGCCCTAGCCTTGGTTTCTTCATCTGTAAAATGGGGGTGATAGTGATGTAGGGTGCCTAGCGCGCAGGTCATGGCTCAGGAGACAGCAGAATCCCAATGGGGTCTCCAATCTGCTCATGGACATGAGACGCTGGACCAATGCCCACACCTGATGAACAGCGTGGTCGTTTTCAGAAAGAAATCTGACCCAGACACCCCGGGAGCTCCGCGGGCACCTTGGCAGGGGTGGGTTGTGACTGTGATGGCGCGGTGGCCCTGGGCCGGGTCCTTCCGGGCAGTGGGGTGATCAGGGTTCTGGGAAGCCGAGCTCTGTGGAGCAGGGTGGGCGGGGCCGGGGTGGGCGGGGCCAGGGAGTTAAGTGGTGCGCTCAACGTCCCAGGGCAGGTGCCGGCAGCATGCTGAGGGCTGCCTTTGCGTTCTGTTGGAGCCAGTAACTTGGAAGACAGCGTCTTCTATCCAAATACCATCACCCCTTAGCGCCTGAACATCTTCCACACTGAGTCTTCGCACAAGCAGACAGGGCCGGTAGGAACCACTCTTCTCCAAATATCTCCCTACCTTACTTGCAGCTGCGACAGCCCAAGCCAGGGCTTGCAGATGGGAGAGTGTGGGATATGTCAGGCAGGGAGATGCTTCTGCTACGGATGGTGGGTTCATGGGTGGGTGGGGAAAATGAAGGGGGCGTTGGGGTGGGGGAGTGCAGAGTGAGGAGCTGTCCTGTGACCACTCAACAGATGTTCCTTGGGCCCTTTCTGTGGGCCAGGCTGCCCTGGGGAACAGCAGAGCAGGTTCTGCCGAGGTTCTGTAGCTGGGGAGCCATGTGATTCTATCAGTGTTAAGAAGGTAGTTCTGGCTGGGGGTGAGGTGTAGCTTGGTGCTGGAGCATTTTTTTAGCATGTGCATGGTCCTGGATCCCATTGCAGTACAGAAAAAAAAAAATAATAATGGCTACAATATAATTCTACCTACCTGGAGAGATCTTGGGAAAGACTGATGGAAAGAGAAGGCTGCAGGGTGTTGGCAGGCCCCATGGGACAGGGATAAGCATGTGGCCTTCCCATGTGACCACTGATCAAGGGTGAGTTTTGTGGACTCCACATGGGGCCCTCAGCACTGGGCCTCTCTGATGAGCACCTGGGGCATTGGCAGGCCAGCAGCCCCTCCAGCTACAGCTCTGTGACTCTCGTCCCCAGATGTCACAGTTCTGGGGGTTTCTCTGCCTCCAGTAGGAATGGCAAAGCTGAAGGCAGCCTGGCTCCTGCTGACATTTGTCCCCGACAGTGCCCTCCCAGAGGGCTCCTGTTTTACTGGGTCATGGTCCTGTGAATGCTCTTCCTTCCGGTTGCAGGCCATGTGGTGAGGGCTGTGGGCAGAACTCTTGGAAGGGAGGAAGTGGAACTGCAGGAGCTTGGGAGCTTGGCTTCTCTTGCCCTGGTTCCAAATGAAGGCGGGACTGAGGGGAGGAAGGCCCAGCAGCCCGGATGCCTGTGATCAGCTCCTGGAAGGTCTGCTGCTGGTGCCCTTTTGCTTTCGCTTTGGTTGTCTTTGCCCTGGAGCTGAACAGAGTCTTTCTTGCTACCAGCAGCCCCAGGAGCATCCTCTCCATGTTGAATCTCCCTTTGGTTAGGGATGAATGACTGGAGGACCCTAGAATGTCCCAGAGAGGGGACCTATTGGGTCACCAAACTCTCTGTTATCATTTGACTGGTGTAACACTACAGAGGGGAGACATTTACCCAGTGACATAGAGCAATTAGAGGCAGAAATGGGACTGAACCCCAGCCCTCCTGACTCCTTTCTCGGAGTCTTTCTCATAATCCCTGGAGGCCTGGCCACAGTCAGATCGAAGATTTGCTGTAGGTCCCAGCCTTGGTGGTTTCAGAATATCCCAGTCTTTTTTGGGGGGCGGAGGGGCTTCATAGCCTCCTGCTCCTCCCTGGCCATGACAGGTGGCCAAGCCTGGCAGGGTCTTTTCTCCCACTCCCAGGATGGAAGAGTCCCTGGTGCCTCTGCCACCCTCCCAGCAACTTCTTGCTCCCCAGATAAGGAGGGCTGTTGTGTGGTTTTCCCTGCTCAGGCTGGGCTGCCCTGCCCTTCCAGACAGCCTCAGACAAGGCCCAGAGCTGCTCCAGGGTCTGCGAGGCCTTGCTAAACTCTGCTCCCTGCCTGCCTCCGCTCACTCCTCAGCCTCCCCCCTGGGCTCCACCCACATCTCAGGACCTCTGGGCTGCCCTGAGCCTTCCATCCCGTGTTGTTTACTTGGGCTGAGCCGCCTCCTTGTTTTCCCTTGCCCTAGATTTGTCCCACATAGAGGCTTCAGACCTGAATGCCTGCTATTTTAGATCCTAGACCTTCCAAGCCAACAGGAACCTTAAGATCAAAGGGTCCAGTATACTCATTTTACAAATAGAGAAACTGAGGCCCAGGGAAAGGAAAGGACTTGCATGACAATGGAGCCAGAGCCAGCCACCAGTTGTGTCTTGGATGGTTTTGAGGGGAGAAAAACTAACCCAAACCAAAGCAGAGCACTCTGCCTCTCCAACAACTCTTTTCTGTTTCCCATCCATACCTGGAGGTGTTTCAGGGCATCCACGGTGACACTGTCTAGAAAGAGTAAAGTCCAGGGGCCCTGTGAGACACAGGGTACGTAAACATCAAGAGGGCCTGATGTTCTGGGTCCTGTCTGGAGCACAGGTTCTGACCCAGCTTTGTGACATGCCCCTGCTCGGATCTGCTGGGAGCATTTTCTTCCGCAGGTCCCAGAAGTCCAGGTTCACTGTGCAGAAGGAAAATGTCGTGGATGCCACCGCTAACACTCCAGCCTCTGAGTCCGGGTGTTTGCTTGCCTATTGGCTCAGCTGTTCTGTCTCCTAGTTTCTCAGCTGCCCATCCCAAGGTCTACTATCCCATGGGAAAGTTCTTAGATGCCAATCTCAGCCGCCCCTTCCATCTGGTGCTAGCAAGGACTCGGGACAGATTTAAGGGCCAGTCCAGCCAGGCAACTGCCTTGGCTGGCATCCTGTAAGCCTCTGCCAAATGCATAAGAAACTTACCGTTCACCACCACGGGACACTGGGGGGCTATCTCCCTGCATCCCTGAATGCATCTGGGCAAGAGCTATTATATTTACAAAATCTAAAGCACAAACTAGTTCTTACTAGTTCTCACCATGGTTCTTTAAAGTAAAAGAAGCCAGCCAGCTGGATGGCATGGAAGCGACCCAGAAATCCCACAGAGCAGGGGAGGAAGCCTGCTCTTTGGATTTGTTTCCCTGTGTCTTAATTCAACCAGTGTTCCTACTCCAGCATTACAAGTCTTTGTTCCAAATCTTCCTGGGTCTAGGCATTGGGGTAGCCAGAGGAGGCCCCAGGAACGTGGGTATTGGCTTGTTCACCTGTGTCCTGGCTCTGGGGAAGCAAGTATTTTAATGGTAGAGATGTAAGAGAATCGATTTCCCAGCAGGCAATGCAGCAGAGTCACCCCACCTTGGGGACAGGCTCTCCTGGCATAGGATCTCGTCCTGTTAACAAAATCATGGCTGTGCTCAGGGCAGACATGATCAGTATTACTGGAAGTCCTACAGGCAACCTTGAACGCTTTCTTAGCTAATGTTACAAGCTATAGGAAACAATTTATGTGTGAGTTTTATGGTCAGTTAAGCGGTTTTACCACTGTCTTTTTAAAACATGAAATAGAAGAAAGTAGACTAGAAAATAATGCTCATTTCCTGTCATAAGGTGGATTCTTAGGAACCTGCTGGTTATCTTTATGTGAGTATGGACTGAGTGACCTGCTCCCACTTCTCACTGGGTGGTAAGGGCCTGCTCCGGTCCATTGGGTTTTGTACTGTGATTCTGGGAACTTGGATTCCTTGGATGGATCCCAGGAGCCTCTTTGGGTGAGATTTGCGAGGTACAGCTAAAGGGTGAGAGGATGGGATGGTAGGCAAAAAGCCGTGCTTGCAAATGTTGCAGACATTAGGGGTATCTGGAAAGACCCCTTCTTTACAAATCTGAGGCTTTAGAAAGAAAACTCAGAAAATCAGGAATGGCTGTTAGGCTAGCACCTCAATTCTTAGAAGAAGAAATTGGGGGACTGGGGAGATGGCTCAGTGGAATAAGCGCTTCCCTGGCAAGCGCAAGGGCCTGAGTTCAATCCCCAGTTCCGCCAAAAAAGAAGAAGAAATAATAGAAGAAACTGAGGCCAGAGGCACTGAGGCCAAGGTCTCGGCTCTAGGCACGTGGGCATTCTGGCCTCACATGAAAGAGGAACAAAAAGGGACAGAAAGCCACATTAGTGTGCTCAGAGCAAAATGCACATTCACAGTGTGGCCTGTGTCCCCTGGGGCCCCCTGCTGTGTGCCTAGGAATTAATGTTTATCCTAAAGCCCATAATGTCTATCCTACAGCTGGTAATTATTGTGCCAATTCCCTGGTTTATAGCACTTTGGTGCACAAAACCGAAGTTTACTTTTTGTTCAACACCAGAATGTGTGTGTGTGTATGTGTGTTGGGGGGGGGTGCTAGGAATTGATCTCAGGATGTTA